TCAGAAACAACTCTCATTTATTTAGTGGCTCATTTTTATTCACTAGTTATTTTCCTTTACTTGAAATCCCTTTTGCAGAGATATTGTTGCCACTTTTAAATTTAGATACTCTAACCCCCACTCCACCAAGTGTGCTATGGGATTTCTCTCACCTTTCTTCAGAAATCTCAACTGGAGAGATGGAAGCACACTTATAGTAGGACTTCTCTCACCCGTTTTAGAGGTGATATGGTGAATCAAGCACTAAAATTTCCATTTCTTTCGCTGTGATTCAGTCAGTTAACAAGTAGGAGTTCAGCTTCCCTTATTGAGATGTCTTAAATTACTCGATATCCAGTTTTTGCCACTGGGCTTTCTGACATGAACAGATAAGTGAAAATACTGGGTGATGGAGCAACATATGATTTTATGTTATAGAAGAGAAAGAAAAAGAAAGAAAGAAAGAAAGAAAGAAAGAAAGAAAGAAAGAAAGAAAGAAAGAAAGAAAGAAAGAAAGAAAGAAAGAAAGAAAGAAGAAAGAAAGAAAAGAAAAGAAAAGAAAAGAAAAGAAAAGAAAAGAAAAGAAAAGAAAAGAAAAGAAAAGAAAAGAAAAGAAAAGAAAAGAAAAGAAAAGAAGGAACGAAGATTAGTTGTAGTGAGAGATGAGGTTAGAAAGCCAGACCTGAACCAATAGGTGAACATGTGGGTGTGGGTCTGTGGCTCTGATACTGGATGGAGTATGTCATAGACACGCTAGGAGTGATCTTTGTCACTGAGACCTAGCAGTTAATGACTGTTCGCTATTGCCTCTTTTGTCTTTCCTCCTTAACATTTTGTTTACCAGGATTTGTATGACAGGACCACTTAAAAGCTGAGGTGCTATTTCACTTCTCTTACCTGACCTGTGACGTATATTTGATACAAGACCTGCTTACTCTGTTCCCACGACTTACTGAGTTTCTTAATAATTACCAGCACTGGGATAACTGCTTAAGTCTATGTTTCCTACCTAACTTCTATGATATTATCTCATGATGAGATCAATTTACACTAAAAGTCATGCAGTTCAGCTGCTATCTTTAATCCATTAAGAAGTTTACCAGGTCTCCCACAGATTTTCTGGTCTCGGTGAGTCAGCTCAGTTCTCTGAGTGGTTGTAGAGTCACAGGGATTTAAAACGAGTTTTCAATAATTCTCCACAGAACTGAAGATACTAAATAGACAGTTGCACATTTCATATTACAGAAATAGTTTCTGGCTGAATAAAACCTCCTTGAAAATAAAAAAGACTGTTTGCAGTAATAGGGTGACATAACCCAAGGATATAGCAGGGATTTTTCTAACAATTTCACAACATAGAAAATCATGTTTCTGTGCCCAGGGCTATTCCCTGGCATTGTTTAATTACATAGCATGGATATATCCTCAGAAGCCCAAAGAAATTTTAAATGAAGGCTATATCATAAAATCATAGAATGGTTTGGGTTGGAAAGGACCTTTAAAGGTCCTCTAGTCCAACCCCCCTACAGTGAGGAGGGACATCTTCAAGTAGATCAAGTTGCTCAGAGCCCTGTCCAACCTGACCTTGAATGTTTCCAGGGATGGGAGTTCTACCACCTCTGGGCAACCTGGGCCAGTGTTTCACCACCCTCATTGTAAAAAAAGTCTTCCTTACATCTAGTCTAAATCTACTCTTTTTAAGTTTAAGCTATTTCCCCTTGTCCTATCACAAGGGGCTCTGCTAAAAAGTCTGTCCCCATCTTTCTTATAGGTCCACTTGAAATATTGAAAGGCCACAATAAGATCCCCCTGGAGTCTTCTCTTCTCCAGGCTGAACAATCCCAACTCTCTCAGCCTTTCTCTCAGCCTTTCTTCATAGGAGAGGTGTTCCAACCCTCTGATCATTTTTTTGGCCCTTATCTGGGCCCCACTGCAGGTGGGTTCTCACCAGAGCAGAGTAGAGGGGCAGAATCACCTCCTTTGACCTACTGGCTATGCTTCTTTTGATGCAGCCCAGGATAAGGTTGCCCTTATGGGCTGCAAGTGCACATTGCCGGCTCATGTCCAGCTTTTTTGTCCACATATATTCTATGTCCAGGTAGAACCAATTCTCATATCTGGAATAAAATTTGATATGAAGGCTGAGATGTAGTCTTTGTAGAAATATCAAGGAAGACACATCAAAATCAGCATATTGGTTATTTGGGTCTTTTCCAAGGGTCCACCTCTAAGATGAATGAATGCTTGAGTCTCAAATGAGTTTTTGGAGATGCCTGTCATTTATCTATTAAAGGATATTCATATGTTGAAATCCTTCATTCAGATTTCTGAAATTGGGTGGAACAAATAATAATTCCAAGGGCTTATCTATACATTTTTACACTTAATTCTCAGAGAACTAGACAACAGTGATTTCTGTGATGTTCAGATTTTAAAAGTGCAGGAAGTGGATGTGAAAGGCAATGATACAGTTGGAGCTGAAATTCACGACTCCCAGGTCCACACTTTGACCACATAATTTTCTGTAATATGTGTTCCAACCTCACTCATATCTCCAAGATAAACCCAGTATTTAAATAAATAAATAAATAAATAAACCCCCCTGAAACCTAGTATTATCTTTTGAGTGACAATCCCAGATCAAGCCCAGGACTTAAACTGCAGTTTTCTTCAAAGCTTTTTTTCACCTCTTTGTTCTTCAGACAGTAAATTAAAGGAATGAACAAAGGTGTGACAATAATGTTAAGTACATGGACAGTTTTAGTCAAATTTAGTGAGTCCTTTACAGAAGGTTTGATGTGGAGAAAAATGGTGGAACGGTACCAAATAACCACAACAATGAGATGGGAAGAGCAAGTGGAAAAAGCCCTTTGTTGGTCTGTAGCCAATGGGATTCTCAGTATGGTAGAAATTATGTAAATATAGGCTATCAGAGTTATTGTGCATGAGTCAAGGATTACAATGAAAGAGATTATGAAGGCCACTAACTCAACCAGGCTGGTATCTGTGCAAGAGAGAACTATTCATGGGGCTATGTCACAAAAAAGTGATTAATAACATTAGGGTCACAGAAAGACAATGTGCTAATTATATATGTAGGTATGGTTATGGACAAGAAACCACAAAACTATGATCCAAAGACAAGTTGAGTTAAAAGGGTGCGATTCATAATGGAGCTATAATGTAAGGGGAAATAGATTGCCAAACAAAGGTCATATTCCATGGGAGCCAGGAGAAAATACTCTGTGCAGCCCAAAGAGAAAAAAAAGTACATCTATAGAAGGCAATTGCCAAAGGAAATGGTTGGGTCTCCACCCAAGAGGACTGCTAGAGCTTTGGGGACACAAATTGTGGTGTACCAGATCTTCAAGAATGAGAGGTTGCAGAGGAAAAAGTACATGAGGGTATGAAGTTGTGGATGGCTTCTCACTAAGACCATGATGGAAAAGTTTCCCAAGAGTGCTATGACGTACATGATGAAAAAAAGCATGAACATAGACATTTTCAGATACTGATGTCCAGGAAAACCCAGGAGGATGAATACATGTGTGCTGCTATGGTTTCCTCTTTGAACATCAGACGAAAGACTCATCTAAGTAACAGAAGACAATAAAAAAACAGCTTTGTTCACTGTGTTGCTACTTATTTTTTGCCTTACATATCAGAATTCATAATCCAGATTGCCCAAAAATATACTGAAAAAAACGTTACCTAAAATATGCAAGGAAAGCCAAACACGACACAACTGCTCACACCCCTCTCAATTCCCGCCCCCCCCACTCTCCCCCGGCCCAGGAAATAGGGGAGAGAATTGGAGGGGTAAAGGTAAGGAGACTCATAGGTTGAGATAAGAACAATTTAATAATTAGAGTAAAATAAAATTAAAATAGTAATATAGAATGAGTGACACACAGTACAATTGCTCACCACCCACTGACAGTGATTCCAGAGGAGCAACAAGAAACCCTGAACCCAAAACTGCAATCCTGGAAAAGGACCCCAAGCAATTCCCAAGAGAATCCACCCCCGCCACTTTCCGGTCAGCCCCAGTTAATATACTGAACATGATGTAGTATGATATGGAATATCTTATTGGCAGATCCAACTTTCTTTTCTGGGTTTTGTGAACTACTACACTTTGCCCCTCCCAGTCCTTTGCACTTGCAAACTACCCAAACATGGTGTCCTTGTACCTTATCAACATTCTCATAACAAATCCCATATGGAAACTAAAACACAGTGCTTTCTAGCTACTAAGAAGAAAATTAACTCTACCCTAGCAAAACCAGGATATTTTTATCTTTTTTTCTTCTAAACCATTCCAAGGAAAAATAGTTTTTCACTCTCATAGACTGCTATAAGCATGACCATCAACACTCACAGTACTAAAAAAGAAGAGAAGTCCAAAAGAAATTAAGGGTCTGGCATATTTCAATGACTCAGAAAACAAGCAATATTTGTATGTTTCTGACAGATGGCGGAAAGCTTGGACAGATGAATCCCACCTTGTGTCCTTGGACAGACAAGGCAAGGAATAATGTCAGAAAGACTGACATATAGGAATTGAGTCATTCAGCTGAGTGGAGGATCATATGACAATTTCCTATACACAGAAGAAAGAAGAAGAAAGAGGGGCACTGCAGGATATGCAAGAATGGATGAATAGTTATACAGACAGAATAGACACATAAGCTCAGAAATAAGTGGAGAATTAATAACAAAGAATAAAGATGGGTGTAATGCACACACACACAAGAAAAAGTCCTTGCATCAATACAAAGGGAAGTATAGAAAGGTGAACAGGTTGTATATACACAAAATCAGAAGAATTGGAAGAGATCTTAGGAGGACCTCCTGCTTGAAGTAGGGTCAACCATAATTTCAGGGCTTTACATGCACAGGGGTGAATAAAGGAAGAGAAAAATAAATGTATATATAGTGACAGAGACAAAACCGAGGCAAACAGTATTTAGCTTTCACTTTCATAGTAAAAAGCTCTATATCATGGTGAGAGACAACAATAAGTGCAAAACCAGTATTTTTCTTCTGAAACCACAAATATTTCTGTGAAAAAGCAGAGCATTTCCAGACTGCTTTTCTGCCACTTACCTTGAGGGTGGAAAGCATGACTCTAGCACAGCTCCAAGACACAAATAATTTCTTGACTAGCCCCTCCCAATAGAAATAAAGTCTTCAGGGTTTTTGCAGTCAGTTCCTGTGAAAACAAGCAATTACCCCTTAATTAAGAAAGGAAATATTCCCACTCAACTTTGAATCATGAAAGTAAATTTGATTTTGTACATTTTTTTTGCTCATTTCCCATAATCAGAAAACTGTTGAATAACTAGATGAACCTTTCACAAACTTTTATGAGAAACTAAAATATTATTTTAGGATATTTTTAATAAAAAATTGAAAAAATAAATTTTTGATACAGAAGGGAAAAAGAAAGATAAAATAATCTCTAGTACTGCACAGAAGTAGAACATATATTCAAAAAAGTGCTGATCAAATTAAATTTAATATTTATCTTAAAAGTTTAAATTTATTTCTACTGTAAGTTCTGATTTACAGCAAATATGACTAAAGAAATAATCAGTATGTGATCTGCTATAAATATATACAGTTGACCTGAATTCAGTAATATCACTAAATGTGAGGGTTTAAATTATTCTCACCAATTTTCAGCCATTTAAAACTTGCTCACCCCTATCTAATACAGTTACATGTGATTCTCTAGAATTATTGGAAAAAACAGGAACTTTGAGAATATGTTTTCTTTTGACCTCTTTAGAAATATACCTTGGTAGTTTAATAATTTTCCAGAACAATGTGGGAAACTACTTCATTGAATAAAAGTGGAGCCAATACCTAACATGATATACCTGACTTCTAGATAGCAAAAATTAAATGGGATTAATTCCAGCTCTATTTTAAATTTTGAGCACTCATTGAAGGAAATTTATGTAAATACATTTCAGCTTGACTGAAAATACTGTAATGTACCTAGCTGGCATTTTCCATAGTATAAAGAAGTTTGATGTCTGTTTATCTTAGGCTCTCTTGAACATCATAAACCCTTATGAAGACTTCTGTTGAACCAACACAAGACACTTCTTAGGAGGAAATGTCATCTATCCTTGTTGTTAAAAGCTTGTTATCTTAAGTCTCATAAGCCCATAGATTTAGCTGAAAGTTGCAAGTTTATTGAGCTATAAGACTTCTAGAGTAAAATATGTGCTTGTTCAGGACTGAATCAAAGCTGTGTGAAATTGTCAGACCATCTAACTCCTGTCCATGTGCAATTTAGTAAGGACAGCATTCTGTGAAGTGAATGACCATTTAGATTATAGTGGATCTGAATGATTCAGGGGTTTTGTAGCTAGCTGCTTTCCTTCTATTGCTTTGCCTTGATTTCTGCATCTTGAGATGGACTGTCATTTCCCTTATTCTCTTACCTAGCTGTGAGGCCTAATTTCTGGCATTCATTTTGGTTCTATTCGTAATATCATTGGTTTCTTACATATTTTATGTACTGCTTAGTATGTGTTACTTAATACTGAGGAGTCATCTACTAATTTTTCAGACAGATGTTTCAGGCCTTTGTTTTATTCGCTTTGCAGCATACAAGTCATAGTACCACATAATGAATCCACTATTGTTCAGAATTGATACAGCTATTACATCTGTTAATCTGAGGGATAGAGTCTTTCTCTGCTAGAACTGTCAGATTGACAGAAATGTGTTGACATAAATTTTGTTGATAGATGGAGTGTGGAGCTTAAATTTCCACTACTTTTTATTAATAATTGTGTTTATTTCAATATAGACCGTATAATACTTCCAAAGCAAAAAAACAGATTGGTTGGACTTGATGATCTTAAAGGTTGTTAGAATCAAAATGATTCTGTGATTCTATGATTTTACAAAATAAAGGTGTGTTTTAATTTTCTCTGTTGTTTGTTTAGCATATTTTAAGATCATTCACCTTAACAGTTCCATGAAATGTAGTCTGTAAAATATAAGACAAGTGGAAAAATGATTAAGGTGGGAAAGTGAGTTAATTCTTGTTTTACTGTCTGAATAATTGCATTCATTTTCAACAGTTCTGAGAAATTTTGAATGGTTAAACTGGAGTTACCAGTGGTATACTCAATACACAAGCACAAGGGAACGAAGTTTGGTTTTTCACTATAGTGGAATTCTATAGCTGGTAGAACTGGGTGTGGACTGGTGAGGAATTTTGTTTTGTGAAATCTAATGATACTTAGAGATTCCTTTGTTTGCAGCCAAATGACCAAGGATTTCAGTAGGAATTTACACATATAAACATAAGTTTTGCAAAAAATGTATGTTGCACAAACAGGGAATACTACATTATCTGTTTCTGTCAAAAGATCTGTTCCATTTGTTCCACTGGCTGATTATTGACTATCAAAGAAGTACAGCGCAAAATGAATTTCCTAGATTTTATTTAGACACTTGTGAGAGGGATGAGTGATGGAACATAAAACAGATGTCAGCAAGGTGTGCATGTATATTTTTACTAGTCTACCAAAACCATGAAGATGAGTACTTCATTAAAATAGTCATTTCTAGAATGTGGATCATCCGACAGTTCAAAGATCATCCTCATACAATCAAATAATTATGCCCTAGAAGTGTTTCCTCACTGATTGTGAAAGTTTATACAGTTTGCTCTAGTATAAGCATCTGAATATGGACAGATTAATTTAACTTCATTCCTGGTGTATAAAATGAAAGAGAAATTCCTGATTTTTATCACAGTAAACCTGTGAATGTGTCCTGTCTGAAACAATAACTAGAGAATAGTTCAATACATTATTTGGTCAATACTTTCTGTGTCTGTTGCCAGATGGGTCAAGGCTGGGAAAAAAAAAAAAAAAAAGATAGAACCAATCTATGGTAGAAAAAATCATTCTTCTTGATTTCCCTGGCAACCAGTGTTTGCCAATCTACCTCTTTCTGCTTTTTTCTGTGACATACATACTAACAGTATTGGTAAATATGGCCATCACAGCACTAGTGCAGGTCTATCCATTCTGCAGACTCCAATGTTCTGCTTCCTTGGCAACTTCTCCTTTCTGGAGATCTGGTACACTACAGCTTGTGAGCCCAAAGGCCTTGGAGTATTCCTTGGAAAGAATCAAACCATCTGTCCTGGTTTTTAGCTGAAACAGAGC